GGGACACGGGTTCGTGCCCAGGTCTGGGAAGATCCCACGTGCCGCGGAGCGGCTGGGCCCGTGAGCCACGGCCGCTGAGCCTGCGCGTCCGGAACCTGTGCTGCGCAACGGGAGAGGTCACAACAGTGAAAGGCCCGCATACGGCAAAAAAAAAAAAAACAAACAAAAAACAAAAAACAACAAGATACTACTACACATCTATTAGAATGGCTAAAATTCCCAACACTGACAACAACAAATGTTGATAAGGCAGGAACTCTCATTCACTGCTGGTGAAAATGCAAGATGATGCAGCCACTTTGGAAGACAGTTTGGCAGTTTTTTATAAAACTAAACATACTCTTCACATATGACCCAGCAATCACGCTCCATGATATTTACCCAAATGAGTTGTAAACTTATGTCCACACAAATACTTGTCACAGATGTTTTATGGCAGCTTTATTCATAATTGCCAAAACTTGGAAGCAACCAAGATGACCTTCATTAGGTGAATGAATAAATACATTTATCCAGTGTAGTATATCCATACAATGGGATAATATTCAGCACTAAAAAGAAATGAGCTATAAAGCCATGAAAAGACATGGAGGAACTTTAAATGCATATTACTAACTGAAAGAAGCCAATCTGAAAAGGCCACAAAATGTATGATTCCAACTATATAACATTCTGGAAAAGGCAAAATTATGGAGACAGTAGAAAATTCAGTGATTGCCAGAGGTTGGTAGGAGGGAGGAATGAAAAGAAGAATTTTAGAGCAAGGAAACTATTCAGTATGATACTATAATGATGGATACAAGTCTATAAATTTGTAAAACCCCACAGAATGTATAACATCAAGCGAGAACCCTAGTGTAAACTATGGACTTTTGATGATAATGGTAAGTCAATGTAGGTTCATCAATTGTAACAAATGTACCACACTGGCGTGGGATGTTGATAGTGAGAGAGGTTGTACATGGGCACGAGGCAGGAGGTATATGGGAATGCTCTGTGCTTTCTTGTTATTTTGCTGTAAACCTAAAACCGCTCTAGAAGAACAAAGTCTATTTTTAAAAGAAAAAGAAGATCTTGAATCAATAACCTACCTGCCACCATAAGCACTAGAGAAAGAAGAGCAAAGTAAACCCAAAGCAAGCAAAACAAAAGAAATAAAAAGGATTACAAAAAAATCCTATGAACAATTTATGCCAATAAATTAGATAACCTGGTTGAAATGGACAAATTGCTAGAAATACACAACCTACCAAATCTGACTCAAAAAGAAATGGAAAATATAAACAGATCTATAACTAGTAAGGAGACTGAATTAGTAATCAATACATTCTATTAACATGGAGTATTACCACTGATTGACATTATTCAACGATAAAAAAAGGAATGAAGGACTAACACATTACACAACATGGATGAACCTTGAAAACACTATGTTTAGTGAAAGAAACCAGACACAAAGGCCACATATTGTATTATTACATTTATATATTAAGAAAATGTCCAGAATAGGCAAATCCATAGAGACAGAAAGGATAGTAGTGTTTGCCAAGGGATGTTGGGGGGAGTGGAAAATGAGAACTGACCACTAACAGGCATGGGGTTTCTTTTTGGAGAGATGAAAATGTTCTGGAATTAGACAGTGGTAATGGTTGCATAACCTCATCAATTTACTAAAAACCACTGAACTGCATACTTTAAAATGGTGAAATTAATGGTAGGTGAATTACATCTCAACGAAAAGGGAGAGGGAATCAGTCAAAGTGGCTATATAGGGTTATAGTAACATTAGACAATGTGGATTTCAAAGCAAAAAATATTACCAGGGGTAAAGAAGGTCACTTCATGTTGATAAAGGAATCAATTATCAAGGGAACATAAAAATCCTAAATGTGTATTCATGTATTAACATAGCTTCAAAATACATGAAGCAAAACACTGTAGAACTGAAAGAGGGAAAGAGACAAATCCATAATTATTTTCAAAAATTTCAATACCCCTCTCTCAGTACCTGATAGAACTTGATAGAGAGTAGGCAAGGATATTATAGGTTTAATGTGAACTGACTGACATTTACAGAACACTACACCCAACAACAGCAGAATACATATTCTTCTCCAGTGTACACCGAACATTTACAAAGACAGATCATACTCTGAGCCATTAAACAAGTCTCAATAAAATTCAAATGATTAAAGTCATACAAAGTATGTTCTCTAACCACAACGTAATTAAATTAGAAATCTAACACAAAGATCTCAGGAAAATCCCCAAACATGTAGAAATTAAATAACCCAGTTCTAAATAACCCATTGGTCAAAGAAAAAAATCAAAAGGGAAATTGGGAAGTATTAAACACAACATGTCAAAAGGCATGACAGGAAAATCCATGGTAGTTTGGGGATAGGGGATCAAAGGCTCTCGAGGGATTACAAAGGGACATGAGAAAAATTTCAGGGGTGATGAATATATTCACTATTTTGATTTGATGATGGTTTATACATAGTTATATACATAGGTCAAAACTTACCAAACTACACACTTGAAATGTGTGCATATCAGTTGTATGTCAATTACACATACTTCAATAAAGCTGTTAGTAGTGTACATGGTGTATAACCATTTGTATGAAACAAATACACACACTAAACACCATATATACAGAGACTATATCTGAAAAGACATATTAGAAAATGATAAATGTGCTGGCTTTTTTTTTGGGGGGGGGGCCACATCCTGCAGCATGTGGGCCCTTAGTTCCAACCAAGGATCAAATCCGTGTCCCCTGCAGTGGGAGCACGGAGTCTTAACCACTGGACCACCAGGGAAGTCCCAAGTGCTGGCTTTTTAAAAAGGAACTAGGGGATTAGAAAAAAGTGATGGGAAGGAAACGGACCAATTACAGATACCTACTGTATTGTTTGAATTATTTACCACATGTATGTTTCACTTTTTCATAAAAAGTAAAATAAAATTTCCAAAAAAGAATTTTTCACATATTTTGAATGAAGAACTGAGATGAAGAGCCATAACAAACGTTTCTTGAGTAGAAAATGGATCTTGAGGGCAGAAATCAACCCCCTCAAGCCATACCAACAGGTGAGGAAGATGTTCCTAGCCTGGGATTCCCAAAGGCTACCATGCAGGTCAGTGGAAGGGGTCAAAGGAGATCATAGCCAGACACACAATAAAAGCCTCAGCATATCCTAATATACACAGTCTGTTTTAGAAGCAAAATCTTTCAATGATCACTCTCATTTGTTAAGATTTTACTATAGGGGCTTCCCTGGTGGCGCAGTGGTTAAGAATCCGCCTGCCAATGCAGGGGACACGGGTTCGAGCCCTGGCCCGGGAAGATCCCTCATGCCGCAGAGCAACTAAGCCCATGCGCCACAACTACTGAGCCTGAGCTCTAGAGTCCACAAGCCACAACTACTGAAGCCCATGCGCCTAGAGCCCGTGGTCCGCAACAAGAGAAGCCACTGCAAGCCCACGCACCACAACGAAGAGTAGCCCCCGCTCGCCGCAACTAGAGAAAGCCCACACACAGCAACGAGGACCCAACACAGCCAAAAATAAATAAATAAAGTAAATAAACTAAAAAAAAAAAAAAAAAAAGATTTTACTATGTTCCATAGACAGTGCTAAATTCTTTACAAGTATAATCTCACCAAACTCCATATGAGATAAGCATTTTACTATTATCCCCATGTCACAAGAGAAAATCAAGGCACACAAGAATAATAAAGTAACTACTCAAGTTCACACAACTCTGAAGCAGTGGAGTGGGGAATTCAACGAAAGTCCTTCTGTCTCCAAATATTCTACACTACCATCTTTTGGATTTTTTTTTTTCATGATCTCCACAGAATGACATAATCTTGGTAGTGAATGGGCCAAAAATGACTCCTCAGAGCCTACTATAAGGTAATGATGCTTTCTAAACTCCAAGTGCTATCAGACCTGAAGGTAAAGAATGAACTGACAGGGTCTTCCCTGGTGGCGCAGTGGTTGAGAATCCGCCCGCCGATGCAGAGGACACAGGTTCGTGCCCCAGTCCGGGAAGATCCCACATGCCGCGGAGCGGGTGGGCCCGTGAGCCATGGCCGCTGAGCCTGCGCGTCCGGAGCCTGTGCTCTGCAGCGGGAGGGGCCGCAACAGTGAGAGGCCCGTGTACCACAAAAAAAAAAAAAAAAAAAAAAAAAAAAGAATGAACTGACAGGCTAAAAAAGGGGTCCATGAGGGAAATTCTCAGGTAAAATATGAGAATAAAGTGAGGAGACAGGCAGCTAAGTCAATGTTATCAAACCAAAATGTTAGAAAGATCTAGAGCAGTTTTTGCTAAGCAAATGGTTCTCTCCACCTTCGCCTCCCCTTCAGTCTCTAATTCCTAGGGTACATGGGAGAAAACCAGAGAGGTTTTCTGGTAGAAATCGGGCTGGGAAACACTTAATCCAGAAACTATAGGGAAAATCTCAGAGACAATAACCAAGGCAAAAATGAAGTAAAAGTAGATAAAAAGGGACCACTTTAGTTTAGGTAAATTTAATGACTGTAAAAGCTGTTCACAAAGGAGCAAAGAAATGCATTTTCCATTTCATAGAAAGTTGCTTCACCACTTACAGCTTGTCTCCAAAGCGTCTCTTTCATTAGTGACCAGTCATCTCTCTCTTCCTGCTGGGAAGGAATGAGAGGCCAACCACTCAGGTCAGCAATATGCTGCAGAGTCCTTCAGAGTGGTCCTGCAGAGAACATGTCCTTTAAGTGTCTGAGAGCTGGCTGAGGTGATCTGAAAGAAAACCAGTCAGAAGAAGGCAAGGTAACCAGGACTGAACTACAGGGACTTAATGTGAATCATCCAGAGGAGAGGCCACCAAAAGGAATCTAATGGAGATAACAGGCCAGCAGAGACTGCATGGTTCCTCTGTGCCCCCAATGCTTAGAGGAAGAGATGTTTGATACAATGCTAATGCATATAAGTTAAGAAGTCCAAAATAGGTCATTCCCAAACAGCCACGTCTCCCTTTTCTCTTGGGAGATGGCTTCTTCCCAGAGGCAATCATAAGGTTCAGGTGTGAGCTGCCTATCACAGACCCTGCCCCTCCTAATCCCAGAGGTAAGCTGTGATCCAGCCTGTACCAGTCAAATTCCTCCTTAAGATATTTATGGCCAATATTTGGTGAGAAAGGCTCTCTTTTTTCTCTAATTGAGAGCTGAAAGCATGTGACCCCCAAAATTACCAGAGGCCTCATTTCTGACCATAAGAATGAGTCAGTCCATTAGTTAATATTTATTTAGTGCCTATCGTGTTCTAGGAATTGTCCTACGTGCTAGAGATATCAAGAAGAACAAAACAGACGTTGTTCCTACCCTCAAAAGAGCTTTCAAGAGAAGACAGACAATATATAAACAAACGAAAATTATTTCAGGCACTAAAAAGTGCTATGAAGATAAAATGGGCTAATGTAAACAGTGAAAAAAGCAAGGCAGAGGGAAGCTGCTTTCAGCACTACAGTAGGCCTCTCAAGGAGATGACATTTAAGAGAACTTGAAGGTTTAAAAGAAGGCAGCCAGGCAAAAATCAAGAGCCTCCTAAGCAACACAGCATGTGCGCAGTCCCTGACACTAGAACTAGGTCTGAGGGGCAAAAAGGAGGTCACCAAGACTAGAGGAAAGAGAATAAAAAGAGTACAGGGCATATGAGGTTGGAAAGGTAGCTGGGGAAGATCACAAAAGGCCATGGACACCCTGCATTTTATGCTGGCTCCAATGAGAAATCACTGTGGGGCTTAAGCAGATGAGTGAGTGATCTGATTTAGAAAGGTCACACTGACTTCTATGGGGCAGAACGACTAGAGGGCAAGAATGGAAACAGGAATATGAAGCCTCTGAAATTCTCAGGTACTGTTGGTGGGAGTGTAAACTGGTACAACCATTTTGGCTATTTCTATCATACACACCCTGTTACACAGCAATTCCAAACCATATACCCTATAGAAATGAATATATACTTGCACTAAAACACAGGCATAGTCGTAGCAATTCTATTCATAATAGCTCCAAACTGGAAACAACCAAAATGACCAATATATAAATTGTGGTATATTCATAAAATATGGATAAATATAATCATGGATGAATTGCACAATATCCATGCATCAAAAATATACACTGTATTAGAGCAATTATACTCCAATAAAGATGTTTTTATATATATATATATATATATACACTGTATGATTCAATTTTATATCAAAAACAAGCAAAACTGAACTATGGTATTAGAAATTAGGATGCAGGGGAAAAGAGTAACTGGTAGGAACATGACGGGGTTTGGGGAGTTCTGAAAATATTTTGTTTCTTAATTCAGGTGGTATTCACAGGGGTAGGGTCACTTTGTGATGATTCATCAAGTAGTACACTTGTGAGCAATTTTCTACATTTATGATATGCTTCAATAAATAATTCATTTTCAAAATACAGAAACAGAAAACCTGTGAGGAGGCTGCTCTAATCTACCAACCAAGAAATGATGATGGCTTAGGGAAGGAAAGAAACAGTCAGATCCCAGATACATTCCACAGGTAGAGCTGAAACAGATGAACTACTGATGGGGAGTACAGGAAAGTAAGTATCTAGGATGATTCCTGTATTTTTGGTTTGAGCAACTGAGTGGTGCCACTTGCTGAGATGGAGGAGACTTGAAAAGAAGAAAACTGCAGGAAAGTGGGAAGAATTCATTCTATTTTGGCCACATTAAGTTTAGGATGCAAGAAAGAAAGGAGACAAATGCAAATCTGGAGAGGAAGTGAATGGATGGAAGCAAAAGCACAAGGAGCAGCGTGACAGAAGACGCAGACACTTCCTACACAGTCCCACATGAGCAGATAGCGTGGACAGGTGGAGATGTGAGTGAGCTGGTGGAAATAATGATGAGACAATGAGATTTCACCTGATTGTATCGATTTTCTCTATGAAATATGAGGCAAACATCAGCTGAGACTAGGATTTAGATAAGTGAGCGAAGATTTAGGGAGAATGAGAGTGGAGAAGTTACTTTACTGGGGAAGTACAGTAGGATTAGGATTTCAGCGCCATTCATTTGAGTTTTATGGCATGAATGTGAACTGAGTGCAGCTGGTTTATGTGAAGAGACTGTTATTTGTCCCCCAACAGTTCTCCTGTTCTTCCTCAGTTACTCCTCAGAACTCCCAATTTTTAACTGGGCACATCGTCATTCAGAATGAAGACCATGCTTCTCAGCTTCTTCGCAGCCTGGCGTGGTGTGTTACCATGGTGGAAATAGTATGTGCAACTTCTGCAAACTGTCCTAAAAGAAAGAGGGCAAGCCCTTCACCTTTCTTCTTCCTGCTTGCTACTAGCTAGGACATGGCTGCTGGAACAGCCAACCTGAATCATAAGGTAACCTTGAGAATGGAGGCCACACACAGCAGAGCAAAAGACAAAAGGAGCCTAGACCCTTGGTGATCATGGAGCCATCACAATCACCAGTCCTGGACCTTCTATATCTAGATTTTTATGACAAAGAGAACTCCTACCTTATTTAAGCCACCGTATTTTGAGTTTTCAATCCCCATCATCTGACCTAATCTATGTAATAAAGATTAACTGTGTGCTCTTCCCCAACAATGTTCAGCTGCTAGGGTGCGGCTGCAGAGTAAGCAGATAACCACTTTCACCAAGGTTGGAGTTTAGCCAAATAAGCACCATAGAAGAAAGGGAGATAAGAAAATGAAATTTATGAGGAAATGGGTCTAGCACAGTCTGGGGACTCTTAAGTAGAGAAAGATGAGAAAAGTGACAGAAAAATCCAACAGACCCCTGGTTCCACATCTTCTCTTTCATTCTGATCCTTTCACTAAATCTCACTTGTGGGGTTTATGTCACTTCGCATCAAAAAAGAGTCCCAAGTAACATAAGTATCGGAACAAAAAAAGAGTCCCAAGTATCACCTTTCTATCTTTCTTGACAAATGGAATTTTTCCATTTTACAAAAGAATATCATACTAACATTACAACCCATACCACCAAACTCATCTTGCAAATAACCCTTGTCTATAGTAGAAAGAGAATAGGAAGAGGTATGAAAAAGTAACTGAAAATCAAAGAAGCAAATATTCAGAAGACAAAGAAGAAAACAAGACAGTGTCAAAAAGAAAGAATGAACAAGTAGAAAAGCCTATGAGAGACTGTTTCCAGATCAATCACGTTGTTGCCTAGTAGGAATTACTTCATTTAGGAAATCTCTAGGTAATGCTGAAAGTAAGACAATCCCCAGTCAGGACAAGGCCAGAAAGGAAGGGGATCATCAAGTCCCCAACATGAAAAATCACTGTTTTTGTTAGATGGACAGAACAGAAAAGTTCTGAGCACTGGTAAAATTTCCAGGCCAATCTACAGAAGTTACATGCCAGGGGAATGAGCCTCCCTCAGCTGCACACCGTGAACCATGGCTCCCATGACTCCAGAGGGAGGTGATGAAGAGCAAGGACAGAAAGCAGAGGAGAGGGTAAGGCACTAAGGAACAGGGTGGAGGACATAACACTGAACACATCAGCAGAAGCATCACCCTCTCGCCACCTCTCTCTTTGCAGATGCTTCAAAGTTCAGTGTTGGAAAAGTGGTCTTACTCCTGCCCACCTCATCAGTACGTGTCCTGCCAGTCTCTGGCTCTGGGGCAAAGTGAACATGAGGGAAAAAAGGAAGATGGCAGTAGCAGACCTGTGGTAGTGTAGGAAGAAAAAGAAGAACGAAGAAACTCATGAAGGAGGGAAGAAATGAGGAATATCCTCAGTGAAATGGGGAGCGGGAGAAAGGGAAAATCCCACAGCCATTCAACTAGACCTGTTAGTCCAGGGAAGGGATGCAGGAAACTGGAGCACACGTAAGTTAGGGATGCCTGCAGCATCAGAGGCCTTGAAGGGCATGCTGATCTCTGACAGAGAGAACTATCAACTCACTTAAAATCACTTATACTTCCTGGCCTCTCTGCAGCAAGAAACTACTTGCCACTATGTATCCCAACCTCACCAAATTCCCAGAAAGAACCCTTTCAGGGCAGGAGAGAAGAAAAACAGAAAGCCTAGTTTGGAGCAGGCTAAAATTCAATTCAAGTGCCCTTCCATTGGTCAGGTTGAGAAGAGATTTTTATTTTACTAAAGAATTTCTCCATAAAAAAATTTCATTCCCCCAAATTATCCAATCCAATACCCACTTCACAGTACAAGTCAACAGTGCAAAAGGATACCTTACCTTCACCAGCACATAGTCCCCAGGCTGGGCTTGGACCCTAAGCTCAGGGTTAGTGACATCCTCCATCGCTACATCAGGAAAGATCACCTTAAGGTTTCCATCATTCCGGCCATACAGGTCAGTGGCAGAGCGTTTACTGAGCTGCAAAAGAACAGAGAAGAGGTTATGAGTCTGTCACAGTCATCAGTTCTTGGTCTGTCTCAGATCCCCAGGGGTCTGACCCATAGAGCATTTCTTTTTTTTTTTAAGTATGGTACCTCTTTTTTTTTTTTTTTTAATTATTTAGTTATTTATTTTTGGCTGCATTGGGTCTTTGCTGCTACGTGCGGGCTTTCTCTAGTTGCAGCAAGTGGGGGCTACTCTTCGTTGCAGTGGGCTTCTCATTGCGGTGGCTTCTCTTGCTTCAGAGCACGGGCTCTAGGCACACGGGGCTTCAGTAGTTGTGGCTCGCGGGCTCTAGAGTGCAGGCTCAGTAGTTGTGGTGCACGGGCTTAGCTGCTCTGCAGCATGTGGGATCTTCCCGGACCAGAGCTCGAACCCATGTCCCCTGCATTGGCAGGCAGATTCTTAACACTGTGCCACCAGGGAAGTCCCCATAGAGCATTTCTTAACCAAGGAATCACAAGACTAAGTGCTTTACTGCTGCTTCACCAACAAGGGCAGTAAATAGCACACAACAGAAGCTCAATAAAATTTTCTGACAATATATGATTCAATCAACGAGTCTTTGATTACAAAATTACCTTTAGTGGGAATGGACCTCCAACAGGCCTGATGCCAAGGACATAGGGGTGATACACTTGGCAAAAGGACTCTCACTTCACAGAGTCTCATAGTCTCAGACTCTCATAGTCTCAGGAATGTTCTGGGGTTGTCTGGCCTGGGTTACTTGTCCCAGTGAATAGGCAGACTGGAAGCCAGAGTCTCCATCACAACATGCAAAAGACTGGGCCAGGAGAATACTAAAACCAGTATGATGGTATTAATTTCCAGAACATACCCAAGTCTTTCTGCTCCAATCATGATGAAGTGACAAAAACCAAATTTAACCTCAGGCCTTAAATAACCAGGAAACTGGACAAAATATATGAGACATCTATTTTCAGATATTGGACAACTGATTTGCAAAACTATGATTCCCAAGAGAAGGAAAACAAATGGGGCGAGCCCTTCAATCACCCCTGCATTCTACCAGAAGACATGTGCCAGACCAGAGAATGCAAAGCAGGGAGGGAGATCTCAAGGCAGAGCATGGTGGTTCTCTCTGAATTGAGGAAAGTTGGATCAAAGTCCAGGGAGCCTGCAATAGCTGGAAATTGTGGAGCAAGTTCGAGAGAGGAGGGAGCTAAGCAGAAAAAGAGCTGTAGAAATGTGCATAGCAGCCCTCTGAGTCTTTGCTGAATAATAATACGTCCCTGTGTGGAGCAAAAATCCATGATGTCAGACAAAGAAAGTAACCTGGGAACTGCCAGCTGGTTAGCTCCCAGATCTCACAAAGGGCTAGGAATCATCTGACCTACCACCAAATAGTCCTCACTGATTCCTTGGGACATGCAGTAACAACTCTAGAAGAGCCATAAGTAGTACTAAGACTAAACTATCCCTAGAATAAAAAAACTTTTCTAGCAAAGATTAAAAACAAGACTTGATGGCCATTCTGACTGGTGTGATGTGTGGAATCTAGAAAAATGGTACAGATGAACCTATCTGCAGGGCAGGAACAGAGAGGCAGACATAGAGAATGGACATGTGGACACAGGGGGGAAGGGGAGGGTGAGATGAATTGGGAGATTAGCATTGATATATACACTACCATGTGTAAAACAGATAGCTAGTGGGAACCTGCTGTATAGCACAGGGAGCTCAGCTCAGTGCTCTGTGATAACCTAGATGGGTGGGATAGGGATGGGCGGTAGGAGAGAAGTCCAAGAGGGAGAGGATATATGTATACATATAGCTGATTCACTTCGTTGTACAACAGAAACTAACAACATTGTAAAGCAACTATACCCCAATTAAAAAAAAAAAAAACCTTGAAAGGATCAAACAAAACTACAAACAACAAGTAACAAAACTGCTTATCAGAACAAAGCCCAACACAAAACCCAGACAATCAAAGATAATGTCTGACAACATAATGTCCAACATCCAATCAAAAATCACTAGATATGCCTAGAAGCAGAAAAATGTGACTCATAATCAAGAGAAAAGTCAGTCAGTAGGAGCTTCCCTGGTGGCACAGTGGTTGAGAGTCCGCCTGCCAATGCAGGGGACACGGGTTCATGCCCTGGTCCAGGACGATCCCACATGCCGCAGTGTGGCTAGGCCTGTGAGCCATGGCCGCTGAGCCTGCACATCCGGAGCCTGCGCTCCGCAACGGGAGAGGCCACAACAGTGAGAGGCCCGCATACCACAAAAAAAAAAAAAAAAAAGTCAGTCAATAGAAACAGACCTAGAAATGATAGCAGTGATGGAATTATCACAAAGAAATTAAACCAGCTATTATAATTAGGCTCAAATACTAAGTTTCAAAAGAAAATAAGAACACAGAAGAGAAGCAGAAGATATTTTAAAAAAACCAAATGTAACTTACAGAGATGAAAAATATATGATCTAAAATTTTTAATTCAATACATAATAGCAAATGAGACACTGCCAAAGAAAAGAATAATGAACCTGAAGACAGAAAAATAGAAACTATTTAAAATGAAACACAGATATAAAAAAGAGAAAAAAAACTGAACAGCCTCAGTGTCCTATGACACAATATCAAGTGGTTGGACATATAGGTGACTGGAGAAGGAGAGAAGAAACGGGGGGCAGGCGACGGGTGGCAGGAAGGAGGAGTACAGAAAAAATATCTGAAGAATAGTAAATGAAAATTTTCCAAATTTGATGAAAATTATAAACTCACAAACTAAGTAGCCTCAACATATCCCAAACAAAACACAAAGAAAGTCATGCCAAGACACATCAAATTTCTAAAAAGTGATAAAATGACAACTAACACAACATGTAATACTAAACTAAATCTTTTTCTTATCAATGACAGTTCTGAGCCAAGTGGAGAATTTAAATGGGGGTCTAAGGACTGGATGGTAGTAATCTAACAAGCTTAATTTTCTGATTCTGATGGTTGTACTACAGTTGTACAGGAGAATGCTCCTGTTTGCACAAAATACACACTGCAGTATTTGGGGAATTGGGGGCACCAGGGCAACTTACTCTCAAAAGCTTCAAAGAAAAAAGTACTATACTGCTACTTTTCTACAAGTTTGCGATTGTTTTACAATAAATTTTTTAAAAGACAGAGTGTTCATGTTCCATGATTTAAACAAACCAACCATAAAAGAACATTTATAAGACAAAGAGGGAAACTGGAACATCAACTACATATTTGATAATATTAAGAAACTACTGTCAGTTATTTCAAATATGATAGTCACATTATGTCTATTTTAAAAAAGAGTCATCTTTTAGAGATATATACTGAAATAATTACTGACAAAATAATATACCTTGTACTTGCTTCAAAACAACTCAGTGGGGGCAGTAGAGATGAAACAAGATCAGCCATGATTAACACTGTATTAACAAATTGCTGAGGCTGGTTAATGGGTACGTGGGCATTCACTATCCTCTCTACACCTGTTTTTTTTTTTTTTTTTTAGATTCTCCATAATTTGAAAAGGGGGGGTACTTATAGGCTACAGAATGAGACAGATATGGGTCAAATTCTGGCTCTGCCACACTAGCTGTGTGACCTTGGGGAAGTTATTCCCACTTCTCTGAGTCTCCTTTCTTCATCTACAAAAGTGAGGTAATAACAGCACTACCCCCAAGGACTGTGGTGGGACTCAACGTGCTGATGACTGTAAAGTACACAGTTTCTGGCATATAGTAAATGCTCAGTATACAGACGTTATCATCTTCTCTGACACTGAATACAGCAACCCGGTGTTTTAAGCTGGCCATGGGACTTCCCTGGTGGTCCAGTGCTCAAGACTCCACATTTCCACTGCAAGGGGCACAGGTTCGATCCCTGGTTGGGGAACTAAGATCCCACATGCTGCCCTGCGCAGCCAAAATAAATAAATGAACTGGCCATGACTGGAGGAAAGAAAGTCTCCCCTAAGAAAAAGTGAAGGAGGGAGAAGGGGAAGATGGCAGGAGGGAGAGGGGGAAGATGGCGGAAGAGTAAGACGTGGAGATCACATTCCTCACCACAGATACATCAGAAATACATCTATACGTGGAACAACAACTACAGAACACCTACTGAACGCTGGCAGAAGACCTCAGACCGCCCAAAAGGCAAGAAACTCCTCACGTACCTGGGTAGGGCAAAAGAAAAAAGAATAAACAGAGACAAAAGAATAGGGACGGGACCTGCACCAGTGAGAGGGAGCCGTGAAGGAGGAAAGGTTTCCACACACTAGAAGCCCCTTAGCGGGCGGAGACTGCGGGTGGCGGAGGGGGGAAGCTTCGGAGCCGCGGAAGAGAGCGCAGCAACAAGGGCGCAGAGGGCAAAACGGAGACATTTCCGCACAGGGGATCAGTGCCGACCAGCACTCACCAGCCCGAGAGGCTTGTCTGCTCACCCGCCGGGGCGGGCGGAGCTGGGAGATGAGGCTCGGGCTTCCGTCCGAGCGTGAACACAGCCTGAAGGGGTTAGTGCACCACGGCTACCCGGGAGGGAGTCCGGGAAAAAGTCTGGACCTGCCGAAGAGGCAAAAGACTTTTTCTTCCCTCTTTGTTTCCTGGTGCGCGAGGAGAGGGGATTAAGAGCGCTGCTTAAAGGAGCTCCTGAGACGGGCGCGAGCCGTGGATAACAGTGCGGACCCCAGAGACGGGCATGAGACGCTAAGGCTGCTGCTGCCGCCACAAAGAAGCCTGTGTGCGAGCACAGGTCACTCTCCACATCTCGCTTCCGGGGAGCCTGTGCAGCCCGCCACTGCCAGGGTCCCGGGATCCAGTGACAACTTCCCCGGGAGAATGCACGGCGCGCCTCAGGCTGGTGCAACGTCACGCCGGCCTCTGCCGCCGCAGGCTCGCCCCACACTCCGTACCCCTCCTTCCCCCCGGCCTGAGTGAGCCAGAGCCCCTGAATCAGCGGCTCCTTTAACCTCGTCCGGTCTGAG